AAGAGGTTTGATTCTTTCACTTCAAGTTTAGCCTAACTATTGTGTAGTGGAGTAGGTTTAATGAATCATTGTTTAACTTTGATACTGCCAAGTATTTGACCATTAAATAGTCTGAAATATGTACATAGCACTTTGGTGACAGACCCTTATTTAACTGTGATTAATTGGCATTGAATAGTTATTTAATTACTTCGGAAGAAATCTAACAACAGTGTGTGTTCTGATTGAGTAATTTGATGTAAAAACAAACATAGGACTGTTGAAGAGAGCACGTTCCCTTTTGCAGCTTGCTACTGACGCTGCACACCATGTGGAAGCCTGAGAGTGATTAAAACAGCAGATACTATTCACAAATTTGGATGCTGTTGTAACATTGGCATACTTAGTTCTTGATTTCTTAAAAGACTTTTTTGTTAGTGGTTTCACAAAATTTCCTTTGCCTTACAAGTTTTAGATTTAGTATTTTCTTTCTGCTTTTGAACCCCAGACTGAAACTCACAGGGATAAGTAAAGGGTGCAATTATTACGTGAGATTGAAAATTTTTGTAAATTGAAAATACTGGGCTAGATCTAAGAATTGTTGTCTCATGGCATGTATCTGTATCACAGAATTGCTCACTTAAGGAATTAGGGGTTTTTGGAAGTACAACATACTGTGGGAAGGTGGTGTTGATAGTCTATGTTTGGGAGAGTAGGATATTAGAAGTTTTGGAGAGAAAAATAATTTTTTTTTTTTTTTTTTTTTTTTGGGGTTTTGGGGGGCCCCCCCTTTATAGGAGGGGGAACAGTTTTTTTTATTCGTGAGATTGAAAATTTTTGTAAATTGAAAATACTGGGCTAGATCTAAGAATTGTTGTCTCATGGCATGTATCTGTATCACAGAATTGCTCACTTAAGGAATTAGGGGTTTTTGGAAGTACAACATACTGTGGGAAGGTGGTGTTGATAGTCTATGTTTGGGAGAGTGGAGTATTTGAAGGTTTTGGGAGGAAAATAATTTTTTTTTTTTTTTTTTTTTTTGGTGAGTTGTGCAGGTCCTGCCCTTGAATAGTAGGTGCAACAGTTTCTTTAATCTGAAAAATGATCCCCAAAAGTTAGGTTTGCAAATGCTGGTAGAAACCATAGACATAACTGTAAGCATTGAGTCCTGACTCAAAATGGCTGCTTTAACTTTCATATCTAGAACGTTTTCTCTTGCGGGCTTAATAATGCATAAGCAAGCCACTGATTTACTGTGCTTCCAGTAAGTAGAAACAGTTGTTTCTTCATACCTTGCGAAATAGACCTCATTTACTTGTAGACATCCTTACAAATGTAGCAATCGCTCTGGATGCAATATCATGATGGCTATGGGGCATTTTGGAGATAATTCCAAAGCATAGCACTTCTGCTTGGAGGCGCATTGCTCTCTCTGCTATATGGTGAGGGAACTTGCTTGCTCTAGTGGGTTACCGTAGCTTGCTTCTGCATAGGACGTGCTGAATAAAATGCCAGTTCAGTTATATTCGTATGGATTTGAGATATATCTCCAGGCCTGTGTCTTCTCTTATACAGTCACTGGGGTAATATAATTGAAAACCAGCAACAACAAAAATAGGGCTAAGGCTTGTGGCTTTGTCACTTGCTTTTAGCAGTAAAGTATTAATGCTCACTGAATTATAAGAGGGATATGTGGACCTCTTAGCAAGAAGCGAGGTATTTTCCTAGGCTTTAATGACTTCAGGTGTCGTTTTCCAGAATTACTATGTGCCAACACTAAATAGGCCATAAATGACTTTTTTTTGATAACTTGAAAATTCAAAAAATGAAGTTCCGCTACCAGAGATTCACTGACTGTTTATTTGGGAAGCAGCTGATTCACATCCCCACTGTTTAAATTGCTTTAATTGTATCAGGTGGACTGTAAAAGGTTCCAGTTTTCAAGGATTGTCTTTTTGATATACCATTTCTTTTGCTCACTCATATTTTAGTCCATGTCATTTTACAGAATTGCTGTATTTACATTTTAAAGAGGATTAGGCAGATTAAAAGATGTTTTCATGTTTTATTGATAACGTCAGATTAATTTCCACTTTCCTAGTGGCAGCTCGCAGCTCTGTCAAAACACGGTCTGTAGAAACACTGTTATACTTAACAATTTCATAAGGCAGTAGCCAAAAATACAGTTTTGGCAATTAATTAGTAGCTTGATTACCAACGGGAACTGGAGTAGTTGGTGGTTAGTGGATATATGGAACAGATAGTAAAACCAGAGGACTACCGAGGCTGGCTCAAGTGAGCTAAATTTTCCTTCATGACCGTGGTCCTCAAAGAACTTCACTGGAAAAGATGTTGCTGTGGAGAACATTGCCAGAGTCACTCTTGGTGTGCAGGATGAAGGCAAGTATTCTGCAGTTCTCATTTATATCTATGCCAGCTTATTACCCCTGAAAGCGCTGGAACAGATCTGTATTGTACTTGCAGCCTAAAGCTCTCCTTGTTGCAACACTGAAACTTTCTCAGAAAATGGCTGGAGATTGTCACAGCTTCCAAACAATTGCCAAAAAAACCCCAAAAGCCAGACTCAAAATCTGCAAAATTTCTCCTTGAGCAACTTTAATGGGTCATTCTTCAATAGAAATGAGAACTGAACTCCAAGATGCTGTTGGAACTGAAACTAAAATCGCTTTCGACAGCAAGCATTTTGTAATGGCTTCTCTCCCCTAGCCCTTAAGGCTTCGTCCTTACCATACAAAACGAGAGTAAGCAGAGCGCTCTTCCAGGAACGAGTTTGGATGTGCTCTTCCACTTGTGGGATGAGGGAGACTGTGAAGGCATCGCTTGATTCCTGGAGGGTGCCGGCGTTGACCTGACCTGCGCTACGGCCAGGGAAAGCAGCCAGCCTGAGTGACCTTGCTGCCTCCCGCCAGTGTCGCATGGGATGGCCTTTGCGCAATAGCTTCTTATATCAATCTGAAACTTATAAATAAATAAATAAAACTTACTTTCAGTTAAAAGGCAAAAGGGGATTCTAAGTCTGAATGAAGGTAGGGTTTGCTCGCTATGAGAATAATCCTTTGCCCCTGCGTACAGCTGGTCATCAGTGGGTCTCACAGCATTTCATGGAGGGGCTCGGCAGTGTCCCCTCTCCTTGCTCTGCTCTTCACTCTGTAAAATCAAGTGAAGTCACTCAGGAGGCAAATGATACAGCTGGGAACAGATTGGTAATACCCTGAGCCCAGTCCATTATGCCATCTTGTTTCCCTCATCTGCCCCTCCTGGACAGGCCACTAAGGAAAGCCCTGTCTGAAGGAAGCATTTAATTTCTTTGAATTATTTTCTTTTTGCCAGTGAATTCTTGGTTCATTTGAAAGTAACCTGGAATGTGATATTTAGGGATATTAAGAAGTCTTAGCTACAGCATGCATGCAATATGTGCTAGATCACTCTTCCACAGCCAGTCTCCGTGTAAGGAAATCACAGGAAGAGGAAACTTTAAAAAAAGTTGCCTTGCAGTTCCTTCTGATGTATCTATCCCAGCATGAAATAAGTGAAAGGGAACATCCCCAGCTGCCATTCCCAGTAGAAACAGATGAAAGAGATTTTACTGAGTCTTGTGCTGCTATATACCCTTCCTCTCTGTGTGCAAAGCCTAAAAATAGGATGAATTCTACTGTTGTCTGCCTTAAGTTGCCTTAAGAAATAATAAAAAAAAAAGAATATTCTATTTCTAGGAATAGAAAAAAGGCAGTTGCCTTTGGTGGTAAGGTACTGCAGAACAAGCTGTTCACCACCAGTATCTCTCTTTGGAGTTGTATCCCAGGCCTGAGGAGAGGATGTTTTGCATATTGCTTGGTGTGGAACAGAAATTCCCTTAAAAAAAGAAATCGATGTTATGCAACTAAATTCGTAATTCCGAGACAGCTGTGAACAGAAAACTAGAATGATGGTTGCTACAGGAGTTACTTCAGTATTTCTTATCTCTGAATTATGTCTCCAATGCACTCCATGGAAACTTTAAACTTAAACTACTTTCAGTTTAATGAGCTCCTTTGAAAAGAAAAAAAAGAAAAAGTCTTTTGTTGCCAATGCAGTGAATGTGTTTGTACCAGTTAGAAATAATAATTGAATCAAGATATATGTAGATAAAAAAGCAATGTGAATGCATGTACGGGCATTACACACCTTAGAAAAGGCCAGATTCCCATCCTTAGCTTAGTTTCTTTCCTGGTGAGTAGAGATATCGATTAATAGAGAAAGATACTGATCCACTTATGGGTGGCAGTGTTGTGACTTTAATTATTAAAGAACTGTTGCTGTAACTGATTTTTTCACTCAAGTAGAACTTGGGAAAATAGAGAACTGTAAATGCTTCACTGACAGCAGATTAAAAATTGTTTTATTAGCTTTAATAAAGATCAGTATTGTCAAGGTTTTGAATAAGTGTAAATGTAAGGCTGCTTAAATGCAAATCTATCTCAAATTTTCTTTCCGAAACACCTGCAATTTGAATCCACGTATGATGGTGGAGGGGTGGGAACCGAAATAGTAAAAAGGATCAGTTAGATCAACTATGATTTATCTGGGACATGCATGCACTAGTGAGTTTCAGTCAAGGGTAGGAGCAGATTCTGGCTGATGTTACTTGATGAAACTTGTTGCCTGAACTGTAAACCTTTACCTGCACACGTTGAGCATATAAAGCCATGTGTGTTTCACCTGTTAAATTCTATTGAACTACTATCTTCAAAGCCCATTTTAATTTCTTCCTAGCAGTTTAAGTAACGGTTTTATATCTGGGTGAAAGGCATTTGTAAAAAAGTATTCTTCTTCAAAATATATTGCAGTGGTTGTCAAAGATTCCCTTCATGGTGGTTTCAAAAAGTATCTTTTTATCTTTAGATTCCAGCTGTTTCCTTTTTACTGTTACTAAAATGGTAAAATATGGTGTGTTTAAGATATTTTGGTCTTTTAAGGAATTATATTTACTTTCTTTTTCTTTTCCAACCCTGTTCCTATAGGAAGAATCTTAAATCGTTTTTCCAAAGATATTGGCCACCTGGATGACTTGCTTCCATTGACGTTTTTGGACTTCGTGCAGGTAATGCAGTTGCTGCTGTCAAAAGACTTCTATGCTGCATACTGAATTTAGATTCCTGTATGCTTTGGTGAAGATCAGCTATTTGTCACAGATGTAGCTGAGTTGAATGGAAGTGCTTGTTTGTGAAAGAAAGGTGCGGTTGAAATTTAATGTGTCAGTAAAAAGCTAACATGAGTAATAACTGGCAGGTAGGAGTGGCTATACACAGCTTGCTATTATGTCAAGATTTCAGTTCATAGTAGCTACATGCTTGGTAAATTGCTCCTGATTTGCCTCCAAGCAATCTGGCAAGCTTATTGCTGTTATAAGAAATATGTCCATAGTAAAGAAACAATCAACTCACATGAAAAGATAGCACAGATTAACCTAATTACGTGTCTACTTCCACAAAGAATCAAATGCTTACCACACCATTTTGGATTAAAATAGGTGTGGCTATTTACAAAGAAAAGATTAGTAGTAATAGGGTGAATATAATAGCCTTAATAGGAACAAGTGAAATAAGTTGCTGCAGACAAGAAAGATGGACAAAGCACTGAGATTTTGATGATGATGAAAGGATAAAGGATTATATATGACATCAAGGTAATTTTTCTGTTGCAGTTGCTAGTAATCCTCCTTGTAAAAAATTGCAGAAGGATAAAGCTGCAAGAAAACTGATCATGCTGTATCAAAATAACATGAATCACAGAATGCACAGAATTGTGGAGGCTAGAGAAAGAAATGACTTAGTGGATCATCTGGATCCACTTAGTGGATCAGACTTGTCATGCTCAAGTCAGAAATGTTTCTTAAGGTGCTATTGCTAACTTTAAGCCATCTCTAAGAGGTGAAGCATTCAGGATCTAAACCTTGTTTTCACTTTAAAAATAAACCAAAGACATTTCAGGTTGAGCAGTTTAATCACGTTGTTAATGCTGAACTCTTGAAAATAGAAAAAAAAATTAGTCCAAGGAGGTAGTAAAAACACTTCTTAAGACAGTCCTTTTCCTAGTTTAGTGAAGTTGTTAAAGTTGAGGTGTGTGTTTGTTTTTCAAAGTGTCACAGTGCCACATGTCATTTTGGGGAAGAAAGGAAGGTAATGTGTTTTACCTATCAATTAAAGCAATTGGGGTTTTTTGTGAGTTAGGGAGTTGCTTATCCTGGATATGAAGTTTTTGAATTCATGGGCTTTTAAGGCCCTGAAAAATTCTTTCCTGAAAGTGCAATATAAGCATATTTCTAGAATATACCACTCATTTTCTACTGTTTATACAGATTGCACATTTTCTTCAGTCTCATTAACTGTCTTGTTAGACATAATATCTTACTTTATTTCAGCTCTCTTGGGACAATACATATGTGCCTTTCTTTTTGGCTGGAAGCTCAGGCTGTCCTGCAATCCTTATCCTCTTCTCTTAGCATAGGATTTACATCCACAAAGTCAAAACCATCTCTTCTGCATGGTGCTCCTTGGCCATTAGACCAAGCAATGCAGAGGGGTTTGTATTTTCAAAGGTTTGTCCCCTTTACAGCAGACTGCACTGTGTATATTCATACTGCATACTACCCATGGCCAGACCAACCTTTGGATCCGGTGGTCTTGAGATAAAATGATTAACCCTTTTCCTTAGTTCTGGGCATTTACAATAATGTGAGAGTTGTGTTGCAGCCCACTTGCATGGTGGTTTTTATAGCAAGAAACTGCGTGGGTGTTTTGCATGCCCTGGCATGTGGTTTAAAGGCATGTGGGGTTGTCTGAGGATGCAAAATTTTCTGGGAAAATGTTAGAGAAGTCTGCGTAAGCAGAGGGAGCCAAAATTGGTGTGGTCTTCTCCGTACTTCCTTTTGGGAGCAGACCCTGAAGCAAACTGTCTTGAGAATTACATACTCTTTTTTTTTCTGAGGGAACCAACTGGTTTGCTCCAAAAGCAAGCTGAGGAAGGAGGTAACCTGTATGCTCAGCACATACAGAGGACAGAATCATCTACTAGCGAACTGGAGAACCTAGCTATTTGACCAGTGTATAGATGCTTGAGGCAGTATATGCTTACCAAAACTTAACTGGTCTGGGATGAAAGAATGAAGGCTGTTGCTCTACATGTGACTGTTTTATCCTTTCAAGCGCCTACTGTAAACCGCATATTGCAAACATTTCCGCTCATGCTGATTACTTTGTGCATTTCTTTTAAACTGGCTATTGAATAATTTGTCAAATTCTGAAGTTTTTATTTTAAGTGAAAAGTTTTCCTTTTCAAAAAAATAAAGTAGATGTTACATGTCCAGTACGCTATTAAAACAATACTATGTTTCAAAGCTTGCCTGTTCTGTTTGGCATAGGAAAAAGAAAATTTAGGAACTTACTGCTGATTAATAATGCGTTGCTATCCATAAGACAAAAGCACTTCCTTCTTGGCAGGTTTTCTAAAACTTACTATTCTTGATCGGCAGGCTTGTTGGCCTTTTGAAATTCAGTAGCAAAAAGATGATATTTATTTCTGAAGAAGCACAGATTTTTACAAAGGATAAGTGTTATCAATTATGATAGAGATCTTTTGTCGCTTGTTTTGTTTGCAGGTGTCTTTTATAAGACTTACTATAATCCCTTCAGGAAGAAATATTTTCTTCTTTCTAAAAACAGTATTAGCTAAATATAAAAGCTCTGATCCCAGCCATTGTTGTTGATTCTTTGAGAGACATTTCCCAACATTCATTGTTTAAATGGTTGTCAGGAGGAATCAAGCGAAACTTAATAAACAATGCAGTAACTGGTTCATCTTACTTTGTGTGTAGAAGCTTTTCTTGAGAGGATTTGCATTGAAGAAGTGGTCCTTTTTCTGAGTTACTGTTAGGATCACTGTGAAGCATTCCACCCTTTTACTATATTGACAAGTGAGTGTATAATTTCTGCACAAATAAACACAATGTGATTGGACACCCAACAACTACAATATGAGCCCATTTAAATACCTATTAATAAATAAATAAATAAAATCTACTAGTTTTGAGAATTTTGTAATTGCCCTGAGTACAGATTTGAAGGCAATGCTAAAAATTGATAATGTTCTTTTTAGAGTCCCTAATAAGATTTATACACTACACTACAGTCATAATGAGCATGATTAGTGTAGACAGCTATACTGGATGAAAATTAATGCCTTGAACTACAAGAGTTGAATTTTTTACATCTTCCATTGAGTCAATGAAGAAGAAACAGTCAGTTCTCTTCAAGACAGTGGATAGTTACTGTACACTTACCTGTTAAAGCAAAAATAAAAGGTATGTGACAAGCACAAAAATGCATTACAGACCTAGTGTATTCTGCTGAAAACCTGGCTAGATTTTGCAAAACCGTTGCTTTGCAATAGCTCCCAAAGTAGCAACTCTCACTATGCTTAAAGTTTCCTGCCATCCTTTCTTTCTTTGGTTTTAAGTGCACCTGTCTTTGGAGAGATGGGGGACAGGAGGGGCAGTCCTCACTAGAAGGAGGCAGTCATTTTTTCTTCTTAACTTACAAAACTTAACAGCATATGAGACGTGTCGTTAGTGCAGTTGACTATCTTTTTGTAGAAATTACTGCTGTGTCCACAAGATTTATAAATAAAAAATAAGTCTCTTTTGTGAGAACACATTTATGGCTATGTTTCGCTACGTGGCTATTGAACAGAACTATGTGGGTAGATGTGAAGTATAGAAACTGGAAGGAAACCAAAGGTTAATTTAGGTGCTTCAACTGGGCTATCTTTAATTGTACGTTTACAGTCCAGTTCAAAGCTCATTAAAGTAAAAGATAAACTTTACAGTCCACAGTCTAAGCCTGGGCCTTATCTTCTGTGATGGATTCTAGCTGGCCATGAGGTTCCACACCAGCTCACGTGAAAAACACAATAAAAAGTAATTCTGTGTTCACTATGACACTTGTTATTTCTACTAAATACGGCACTAAATATGTTTGTAAAGTCAGGTAGTAATTAATGTTTGTAGGTTGATTCAGATAGTCAAAAGCTGAATTAACTTGTTTAGTGAAGATGGTGTATTTTTTTTTTTTCTGAGCATGTTTTTAATCACTTGCATTAGTACCGTTAGCCTCCTTAGCCTCAGTTCTGCATCTCCCTTTCTTTTTCCTACCTATTTTTTGGTGGGTGTTTTCCAACTAAGTTACAATCTCCTCAGGTAAGGGACTACTTGTGTGAAAGCCATTACCTTGCTTTAAAACTTTCTAGGGGGATTTAAACATCTACTTCATTTAGATATATATGCTTTATTTATGTATTTGTTAGCTTAATCAGAGGGCAGGTCTGACAGCAGCCTCAAAGAGCTACCCAAACGCAAATAATTGCAGAAATGCTTCCTTTAGTGATATGAACTTGATCATCCTATAAATAAGTCCAAAGGGACTTAAGGAAGTCAGGTGCCATTTAAGATGACTGGGATTTTGTTACTTAATTTTCTTAGGCTCCTCTGAAAATACCAGCTGATTTACTCAGTGTTGTAACCAAGTGTTTTTCCTCCTCCTGCCTTAAACTCTGTGGGAGTACAAGGTTCTGTTGATGTGGACTTCACTGGTAGGTGTGGGGCTTGTAGTTTAAAATGTCATGGTTAAAATACATAGCAATGTCTAGCTCAGTGCAGCACTAATAAAACACACTATACTAATTTGGGAAAAGGTCAGCCAAGGGATAGAATAAAAGAATTTAATGAGGAAGTATTAGGAATTAAGAATCCAATATATTTAATAGTATTTTATGCACATTAGCCCAGATATTCCTAAGTGGCCAGTATTTTGGATGCTATATTTTTGAGAGCTCATCAAAGGCTTCTTTTTTAGTACCTGAATCTCACTTTGGCTTGTGATATATCTGCAGAGGCTTAACATCTTTGAACTGTCATCTTAGGTGATCAGTACCCAAACTGATAAACTACTGGTTGAAAATTGTATCTAGAAACTGATTGAATACATAGGATGGTGAAATGTATTTCAGACTTTTTGTTTTGTTTTGTTTTGTTAATTATCATGATAA